CCCTTGACAATTCAGACAAGCAAAGCTGAGTTGATGCTCGAAGCGAACATAGCAAGAGCAATTGTGAAGAGGGTTTGTACATCCACCGCGGATCTTTCCAAAGCCGTCCAAGTTTGTCAAAGAACCGAGAAATGGTTCACCAATGCAAAGAAGAACTGAACTGTCTCCACTGTGAACCGAGTCGCCGTCAAGTGAAGCCGCCATTTAGCAATCCAAACTTGCCGAAGAACGCCTTCTGTTTCTCGAGCAGTTTTCTTGGTAGAGAAATAGTTAAAACTTGAAATTTCCTAAACTAGCGATAATTTTCAGTTTTCTGGAATAGATACACGAAAAAAGCGGTCAAAACTACTAAAATTTTCTTCGCTTTTTCACGAAATTACTTTCAAAGGCCGTGACAAAGATCGATTTTGGGAGAAACCATAGTTTAGCGTCTTTGTTGTCGCAGAGTCTCTTTCGACCTGTTTCTTTGTGCGACCAAATGAGTCTAATATGAGAAGTTCCGTGTGTTTTGTTATTTATGAGGATCATTAAAAGATCCTCTTTGTCACGGATTAACAAAAGCAAAGATAACTACACAAAACGAATTGATATTTCAGTTGTTCTAAATCGATTTATTATTAATGGTATCTTTGTTTGATTTATGACATGATTTAGGCCGCATTCAAGTTAATGAATCCCCCCTAAAAAGTGCAGGTGGAATTTAGCTTATGTCATTTCTTCTGTATCAAACGGAAATCCACCACTAGATTTCCATTACACGATGAAGAAGTCATTTATTTATAGATAATTACAGCCGACAAACTCATTTAATTGGGGCTTTTTTGCTCTTATCTCCATCCGTGATTACGAGCCGCCTTTTTGCAATCCGAACTTGCCGAAGAACGCCTCCTGTTTCTTGAGCTTTTTCTATGGCAGTTTCCTTGACAATGAAAATTTTAAAACATTTCCTAACCTAGCGATAATTTTCCGTTTTCGGGAATAGATACACGAAAAAAGCGGTCAACAAGTAAGCAAACCTGAATAACTGAGAGCATCAATAACTTAAAGTTTAATTTGCAAACGACGTTTTAAAGAGCGACAACCTATTCGAACACAAGACCAAACTAGCATTTGATAAAATCGATTGTAGCATACTGCAATTAGTTAGGAAAAAACTTTGAACCACAAATTAAAATTAGATAGTATCTTTATCAATATTTTACGCCGACAGTTTGAGAGGAAAATGAGAAACCTAGCTTGCGGTCTATCAGTACATAATTATGTAATGAAAAAAACAAAAAAA